GATAGAGATATTGACATGCGGAAAGAGAAGATGAAGTTCCGCGATTCGCTCAACTAAATTATCTTTTTTTTTTTGCTGACGCCCCTTAAGGCGCTCCTTTAGATCCCTTAGAAATTGAGCCAAGGCTATTTCTGTCTCTGTTAACTCTCCTATTAAAGAATCTATTCGTAGGACAGAAGCAGAAAGGTTCTTTTCATAATATCTATTGAGAATAACGTCGATTGTGGTACCAGAAAACTGAGCATAAGATGCCTTGAAGCGTGGTTTAAGTACATCTAAAGCAATAATGTCGTTAAAGCGTTTACAAATCAGCGTTAATTCTTTTTTAAAGTCATGCCATTTATTTTCAATAGTCGCTTGTTCGATTATGACGCGTAGATTAGTTAGGGCTTGATAGATAGTCCATTCGTATAAATCTGTTACAGGACGCCATCCCCAAACCTGACGCTGCCACATAAGGAGAGATAGCCGATCGAAAATTTCCCGAGCCGTAGCTAAGTTATAAGCCAATAGAGAGGTTAAATATTGAGACACATAACTGAAGAATATGGCATCAACACGGTTTTCATCTATTTTGGACGCATGAATGAAGAACTGATCCGCTTCGCTCATTTCCTGCAAAAACGTTTCATCATCCTGCTGACTACTCCGATACAGCAAGTGTATCAAGCCCTTACGAAAAAGGGCCTCAGCTGCTATGTCAACATCTGGATTGAAACTTTCCTTAGTGATCTCTTGGTAGACATCAGGGTCATCTCCAAATAATAGAAACAAGTATTTTAGGCGAGTCGATCCTACAAAACTGTCTGTAACCAGTGAAATATCGTCAAGAAAGAGCGCTTTTGTGAATTCCTCGCGTAATACGTTGATAAACGTAAGATCGCTAACACATTCAATAGCTCTTTTCTGAAGATAAGTGTTTTCTTCTTTTTCGAAAACTGTACGAAAAAAGAGCCTTAAACTAGGTGAGGTGTATTGTTTTGCTATATCAATAGCATCAAAATTATCAACCCAATCGATCTGCTCATCAAAGGGTAGGTTAGTAAACCAGGTATAGTCTAGTATCTGCTCCAATCTAAATTAGAAAAAATATACCTGTTCTGGTTGCTCTTCAACCTTGTCAAGTGTAACAGCAGTAACTAGCTCACGTTGGGCTGTACCAACAAAAACCTGCAAATGTTCACCAAACTCACGTTCAACGTAAGCCAAGGTTTCCCGTAAACCATCCAAAAAAGAATGATCACCTTCTTCCTTTGCTGGTGAATCAAGAATAATAAAGCGAGGATGGTGGCCTAGCTGATAAGCAACATCCATTTCGATTAAGGCAATATACAAACCGAGTTTAGCTCGCAATTGCTCACCAGCGGAAATGTCATCAAAAGCGTACACATCACCGTTCTTATAATAATTAATTCTAAAATCATCCCTGACATCAACCCCTTCGTATTGTGTTAAGCCGAAAGCATGTAACTGCTTAAGGTATAGGGTCTCTAATTTTGCAAACAAGGCTCGACTCTTACTATTCCTAAGTTCTTTAAGGTTGGTTAGCGCTATATCTAATGCTGCTATCTGTGCCTCAATATAAGTCTGGCTAGTTTGTGGAAGAGCGATTGCGGGTTGGCCTAAAGCAAGCTTATCTTCAATGACTGCTTTACGTGCAATCAACGGATTAACCTTTTCTAAGTACTTATCGTAGTCGAATAGAACTGGCTTTCGATTCAACTCCTGTTGCAGTCGACTTATGTCGCCTAAGAGCTTAGAAATGTGTAAATTATCAATCTCTGCCTTTGCTTTATCAATTAGATTTTGAGTCGCTTTACCATTCGATTCTACATCAGATCGCTTCAACTTCACTTTGTATTGTTCTTGAGTGAGTATTTGTATCTGTGATCGTAGTTGATCAGCCTGCAATTCAAATAAGTC